TTTCAGGTGCTGAAAATAACTGTGACCCATCAATTAAGCATGGTTGAGAAATACCCAGGGAATCTATGTCTATTGGTTTTGCAGAAATGAGGTTCTCTGGGTCGGATTGTCTGATTATGTCTCTCAAAATGGGCACTTCAGATTGCCTGAATTGATTCTGTCTTGCAGTTGGGAGTGAGACATAAAGTTACACAATATGACAGCAAAGAGAATGTGGAAGACAGGAGCTGGGCAGTGTCCGTCTTACCATGCCTGCCTGGTGACACACCATCTCTGCGGCCAAGTCAGCTCCCCGTTCTGGGACTCCTGATCCCTAGAGTGAGCATTGAAATACCCACCCATATCCTTAAGCTAGTGATTTCAGAGTAAAAGATGGAAGGATTGTATTGTGATCATTATTGAGAGTTCTTTCAGAGAAGATCCTTGGGTCAAGGAGTAAGAAAACGATTTTCCTTTTGTTACCTGTTCTTTCTAACTCCCTGAGTGAAAACCAAACCAAATGTAAGAGGAGACATTAAAAATAGCTCTCACTTGGTCACCTGGAAGTCAGGATGGACTCATGCAGATGTTTGGGTCCTTGGAGTAGCAAATGCTAAGACAGGATGAGAGTCCCGAGAGATGGACTGGAGAGCACACCTGTGCAGGAAAAGAGGCGGGAGGAAGGAGGGAGAGTCTCAGGCTGGGGTGCATCTCTAAAATGTAGACTGTGTTTGGCTAGGCCGGTGGGAGTTCTTGAGCCAAAATGGTCCACAAGAGCAGTTCTGTGTCCTGCAGAAATGGGCCTGGACTAGTGCCCTCACCATGCCGAGTCACCGGCGGGAGCAGCTGAGGGAGGTGCGGCCTTGGCTGGAACACAGCAGTGGACCCAGCAGCGGGCGCCAGGGCGCTGAGCTTCCCACCGCGGGAGACCCCAGCAGTGCGTCCTCAGGGCCACCCACCAGGCTGTCAGAGGTTCTGTCTCTAAATCACAGATCTGGCGGGGTTGGGAAACAGCCCAGGTCATTTGTCCTGGTGCAGGTCTGCCACCCCAGAAGGAGGTCCCATTCCCTCCTCTGACTCCCGCCCCCCTTGTTTCAGCTAAACCAGTCAAGTTGAAAACCCCACCCAGCTGGGTTGAGTTCCTCATTTGACAGTTTTTTAAAAGTCTCTATGTAAATCGGCCACATGCATTTCCTTTGTTTTACCTTCTCAGTGAGTTAGGGTTTACTCTCCTGGGTCTCCTCTGTGTTCCCACTGCAGTCCCTGCTGGAGTAGTTCATACTTTCTCGGTACACACGCTATTACTTTCAAAAACGAAGAAATGATGAGTATCAAAATATATCAAGAGAGGAGTTTTTTAGGGCTGGCACGATCAGCTACCTGTGAGGGGTATTTGTAACTCAAGGTGCGTATGCTCACGTCACACGGACTGCTTCCTTCTGGGCGCCCAGGGGTCACATGGCAGCCTCGCTCTCCGGCGTCACTCCCACCCCCCCGTCTTCCTTGTGACGAGCTCGCACTGTACACAGCGTGGATACACGGGGCCAAGAGAAGATTCACGTCCTGGGTGGGACAGAGTGGGACCGTGCGAGATTTTATCATGCTCCTCAAAATGTATGACTTGTTTACTTCTGTAATTTTGCATTTGATATTTTTGTATCACAGTAGGCTGGGGGTAACTAAAACCCCAGAAAGCAAAACCGAGATGAGGGGGGACTGCTGTCACAGAGGCTGAAAGAGCGGAGAAAAATGTCTCAGAGGCCACTGGACTTCAGCTTCAAACTCGTTCAGTGACTTTTGAACGATGGCCTGGAGGCTCAACACAGACTGTGAGAGAGGCAGCATTATCTAGGGTAAGCGTGTCCCTTTCGGAGTCTGACTGGGTGGTGTGGATGCTGACGCCACTTACGAGCTGTGTGATAGTGAAGTAGTGCAAGTCACGCTCTGTGCCTTCGTCTCCTCGCCTGTGACATGGGAAGATGGGGTAGCTTGCTCATAGGGCTGTTTGTCTGTCGAGGGTCAGATAGTCAATGTGTTAGGGGTGTGGGCTCCATGTTCTGCAGCTACTGAACTCTGCCATTGCAGTGTGTTATGTGTTGCATGGTTGTATCCCCCCCAAATCCATATGTTGAAACCCCACCCCCCAGTGTGATGGTACTTGGAGGTGATCAGGTTTAAATGAGGTCATGAAGGTGGAGGCTACGAGAAGAGAGAGACTAGATCTCTGTCCGCTCTCCGCCATGTGAAGGTACAGCAAGAAGCCAGCCGTCTGTGACCCAGGGAGAGGAATCTGATCGGACGCCGGGTCAGCGAGCACCTTGATCCTGGACTTCCCAGACTCCACGGCTCTGAGAAATCCATTTCTGTTGAGGTCACCGGGTCCATGGTACTGTGTTACAGCCGAACTGACGCAGACCTAGTGGGAAGCATTGTGGACGGTCGGTCCATGAATGTTGACAAAATTTTATTTGTGGGCAGCGAAATTTGATTTTGTATCATTTTTAGATCTCATCAAACATTGGGATAGTTTCGATGTCCCCCCAGTTATTAAAAAATGTAAAGCATTCTCAGCTCTCCAACCATACAAAAACAAGTGGTTGGATTGGGTCCAGGAGCCACAGTCGCTGACCTGAGATAGACGACTGAACAGCTCGTTCCAGAAGCTCGCTCCACTTATCAGATGGGAAAGTGGAATCTGGACAATTCATGCGGGACCCTGGGCAGGAATGTCTGCTACGTGGATCTCCGAGCGTCCTGCCCAGTCCAGAAGGAAGAATTGCAACAATTCAAGGCGCCGGCCCTGAGTTCCTTCCTCACCTTGGATTTCTCCCTGCCGGTCGGGTGTCCTCACATATCAGTTTAGGACGCTCATAATGGCAGCCACAGAAAGCCAGCGCCCCAAACAGAAGCAAAAGGGAACCAAGACAGAGGGAAATAACCTTCTCCGGCGAACACGAGTTATTTACTTTGGATCCGACCACTCATCCTAGGACAGAAATGAATGAAAATTTACCCAAAGACAGATGAGCATGGAGAGTGACAGAAACAGACAAATGGTTCTGACTTTTTACTTTAAAATACACCTTTGAATGGGATGATCTGTGACTTGCTCCTGTCCCTCAGCCCAGCAAGTTTCCCTCCTACTGCCTTCCTCCTCCTCACTTTCCGGGGAGTAATGATGTTTCGAGTAAACACGGGTGTAAGTCACTGTATGAATAAAATGAATAAAAGGGACATGCCTGGAAACTGCACTCAATTTGAAGCTGCATTTTCCCCTTGGCCGGAGGGAGTCCATGACTCACACGGGTGTGCTGCCCTGGGTTTCTGAAGGCCTCCATGTATAGTTCGCTCATTTGTTTTGCGCAGACTTTTTTAATTGTAAAAAAGGTGTTTGCATGCTCTGTGAATTTACCATTTCTCCCTCTCCCGCCCCAGGGTAAATTGTACAGTCAGTGAATCACAGTGAACTTTCCCTTCGCTGGTTGCCCTGTCCCCTTCTGGTCTCGGATTCATGCCACGTGGACCCTGCGTCATCCGTCTGCAGCTTACGGAAGAGTCAGTGCCGGCTGACATCTCGGTGCCTTTGCTCACACAGTTCCTTTGGAATGGACTGATGTCCACCCCAAAATCAGCCTGTCTTGGGTGCAGACCAGAAAGAACTAAGGGTGTAAATTTGAGGAAGTTCTGTAGTAACCAGGCCTCTCAGATCCCCCCCCGCCCCAAACACCAGGGGGATGTCAAGCTGTTCTGTGTGTGTATGCAGACGTTTTTGCAGAGAGGTCAAAGCCTTTGCTGACATCATCTCTTTAAACTTCAGTGCTCTCGGGTGGCGTTTTAAAGGGGAAGGAATTACAGATCTATGGGCAGTAAAAGAAAATGCTACCTGGAATGGACGTAATCAAAGAATTACCTTTATTTGGACGTGGTCTGTGGACGATACACTTTGTTGAGCAGAGATGGACCTTGATCCCCTGGGCTGGTTGGACTCTGATTAGATCCCGAGTCCTACCACCTGTCATTGTTGTTCTAAAACTGTTATTTCTTCTAGTCAACAAACATTTCGAGGACCCCAACAAGGCATTAAGGATGTGCTCTGTGCTAAACCGGGGTTGTAAATGGAGGCACAAAATAAAATTAAGATGGTCCTACTTCTTGAGGTCCATGCAGTCTAATGCAGGTAGGCACACATGAATAGACATTTTTTTTTTTAATCCTCACCCCGGGACATTTTTCTATTTATCTTCAGAGAGAGTGGGAGGGAGGGGGAGAGAGGAAGAGAGAGAGAGAAACATTGATGTGAGAGAGACAGATCAACTGGTTGCCTCCCGCATGACCCTGACCAGGTCCAGGGACGAATTGCAACCAAGGTACATGCCCTTGACTGGAATTGAACCCACGACTCTCTGGTCTGTGGACCAACACTCTAACCACTGAGCAAAACTGTCCAGGGCTGTATAGACATTTTTAATGCAGCATGTTAAAGGATCAATATCAGTAAGCACCGGGTGCCACAGGGAGGGACATCTCCTTAGCTTTCGATGCAAAGGGCCAGGGAGGGTTGTCTAAATGAAAGCAACCAATGTTTAGGGTCTTCTCTACTGTTGGTCCAGCTTCAAAATCCCAACCTCTCCAAGGTGGCTATCCCTGCGGTCACAGCACCTATCAAACTGAATCATCATCACTTGCGTAAGGATCTGATCTACTGTAAACTCCAAAAGACAGAAATGGTTTGTATTTTGCTCATAACATGTCCTCACCACGTAACAGTGCCTGACACCTACCTAAGAGGTACCTTGTAAATATGGGTTGCGTGATTAGCAAGAAAATACCAGGACGTGAATTTTGACCATCTCCCTCCAAGTGCTAAGGGGAATTCTGTTGAAACACGAAATGACAACGTAATGCATTCCGAACCCTGAGCCAAGTTTTGAAAGAAACAACAAAATACAGAAAAACATGTTAGAATGTTCCTACCCGAAGGGTCCGTGGATGTCAGTTGATTGCGTGCCTTGTGTCCACAGATACAAGGATGACGTTCGGAGAAGTGCTGTAACTATCACAACAAGTCACCCAAGTGATGAGTAGCAGAGCAAGTCTACAAACCAGCAGAGCAGGTACTACAAATCCTGATGTCCAGTCCTTGGTTCCTCCCCGGGAGCCCCACGTACCCCTCCATGGGCTACAGATGTGTCGGGGGGGGGACGACAGTGAGGATTCTGCAAAGGACTTGATTCTTTTGCTAGCATACAGATGACTTCTGGACTCCCCAGGACCCACACCTTGCAAATAAGGCTTTGTGGAGCAGAATATTTTATGTGCTAGGATTACGTTCTACAAAAAAAAAAAAAAAAAAAAAAAAATTAAATAAAGGATGCTTTCTTCGGCAGTAAGTAATTGTTTCTGGAAAAAGTGCCTTCTGCTCACTAGACAAGATCCCTCTTCCCGCTTTCATCTGATGTTTCCGCGAGGCCGCAGAGGGACATTCTGGGAACAAATGCTGGTTTGAGCTGGAACATTCCCTTGAAACGTGAAGCTTGAAATCCTTTAGGAGTCCCAGCGTTTTCTTCAGAATTGATTGGCCACTGCAGAACCTACATTCCAACTGACTTCCATGCCAAAAGAAGATTGTGGCTAGTGATTGGAGAGTTTAAAGAATATTTAAAACTACGTTTTCATACCAAGAGCAAAAAGACATCGTTTGTATTCAGTGACTTCGGAATTACCCTTGGGGATCGTTTTCTCCCGTGGTGATAGGAAATTGATAGGACTAACTGGAGTGGGTGAGATTCTATCCTAATAGAAAAACATTAAATGACCAAAAAAATGCACCAGGAAAAAACAAAATAAGAAAACTTTTTATTCTATTGTCAACAATAAAAATTCATGACTTCTGATATTTATTAAGTATTTAATATGTTTCAGGCACTGTCGTAAGTTCTTACAGGAATTAATGCATCTAATGTTCACAACAGCCCCACAGGGAAGGTCCTATTAATAGCTTCATCATAAAAAGAGTGAACTGAGGCACAGAAAACTAATGTAACTTGCTGGAAGTGATATTCTAGGAAGTGGTGTAACTCATGTTCAAACATAGGTAGTTTGGTTCTAGTGCCATTTTCTCTCCTTTAAGTTAAAAATTTAAATCTTAAAGTTATGTATACTCTGTGGGAATACTTCTTGATCTCAAAATTCTACTTACATGAATTAACAGTGATACATATAAATATTTATGTACAAGAATGGCCTTCAAACCACTCCTTCCAATAATGGAAACTGGAAACGTTCCAAATGATGAACAATTAAGCATCTATTAAGTGCCATTTGACCCAGCGATCCTACTTCTAGGAATATATCCTAAGAGGCCTGAAACACCAATCAGAAAGAATATATGTACCCCTATGTTCATAGCAGCACTATTTACAATAGCTAAGATCTGGAAACAGCCCAAGTGTCCATCAGTAGATGAGTAGATAAAAAAAAGTTGTACATAAACACAGTGGAATACTGTGCAGCTCTAAAAAAGAAGGATCTCTTACCCTTTGAGATGACATGGAGGGACCTGGAGAGTATTATGCTAAGTGAAATAAGCTGGTCAGAGAAAGACAAGTATCACGTGATCTCACTAATTTGTGGCATATAATGAACAAAAGAAGCTGATGAACAAAATAGATCCAGAGACATGGAAGTAGGAAACAGAGTGACAAACTTCAGAGGGAAAGGGGATGGGAAGAGATAAACCAAAGAACTTGTATGCATAACCAATGGACACAGACAGCAGTGGTGAAGGGGGGGTGGGGGTGGGAGTTTGGGAGGAGGGTGTGGATGAGGGACAAAAGGAGGGACATCTGTGATACTTTCAACAAGAAAGATACATTTAAAAAAATATGATAAAAGAATTATCTTAAATTCAGAAAAAATAAAAATGGAAAAAAAGAAAAATATGAAATCACTCATAATTCCTCTATTTTGAAATAACCATAAATGCTGAGTCAGTGTTTCCAGCTTTTTTTTGTATTTTATTTCTGAAATGAAATTGGGATCATCCTGGATATATTGCTTTATGATCTGACTTTTCTTTGTAGATCATAGCATAAATCCTTTTCAAGCCATTAGTTATTATTCTATCACTTATGTTAATGGCTTCATGGTATTTCATCATTTGTACGTATCATGATTTATTTAACAAACCTTTTATTGTTAGATCTGGGCTCTTTTAATCATCGTTCTGTGATGCCTCAATGGACTGCAAGCCATCAATCATGGAAAGTGGTCTAGCATCTCTAACGTGGAGTTAAGACCTTACGTGATCTGCTCTATCTATCCCAAGTTCATTTCCCCATGCTTTGCTTCACTGATTATGAATTACAGCCAAGTAGGATCACTTGTTCTAGGAGTGTAACTGGGCATCGTATACAGCACCCATGCGATTCCTCTGATAGCATGCATTGATCTACCTAATGATCTAGCTATTTTCTACTAGACTGAAGACTACTTGGAAACAGAATTTCTGCTGGAACAGTCTTCTTAACATCACAAGGCAAAACTGTGTCTTGCACTTAGTAGATGCTCAATGAACATTTGTAGAATAAATAAAAGCAATGCAATATTATTTTTAACAGTGTAAGATTATAAATCATTCAAATATCTAACAATAGGGTGCAAGTTGAATAAACTATGACATGTCAGAACTAAAAATTTTGAGCATTAAGTAAAAGAAAAAATATGACAAAAGAGAAAAATGTCTGTAAGTAATGTTAGCCAAAAAGAAGATTAACCTATAATTCAATGTATGCTAGAATTTGGCTGTTTTAATTTGTGGGTATGGGGATAAAAATTAGAAGGGAACTTTGGAGAAGCGTGAGAGTTAGGTGTTCATTTGGATGGACTCTACTTCCTGTAATATTTTAAAAAGAGGCAGCAAATTAATGAATTAACATTTATCAACATATTTGCAATTTTGAGGTGATTTTGCTGAATAATGGAACATAAGGCATAAGCTTTTTCTATAGTAACTTGTTTTGAATATCTTATATATTCCCAGAAGAACATTAGGCACTTTCTATGCCTTACATTGTATAATTCTTAACACCACCCAGTGAAGTAGTAGCAGCCCCCCTTTTAGAACATTGAGGTACAGAGATATCTAACAGCATTCTCAAAGGTTGTACCACTAGGAAATGTCAGGATAGCAACTGTGGGTAAGGCTATCAGACTCCAAAGCTCATGTGGACTTTACCACCCTGTAGGTATTCACCTGATATATTAAGACTGGTTAGAACTCAAAGAATAAAACATTAGCTCATTAATTTAAAAACATAAGGTGTCCCAAAAATGTATACACACTAACAGCTGATAGGGCAATTAATGTTTCTTTCTTTTCAGATTTAACCCATTGGAATTTATAGTTATTCAAAGTGTGTATACATTTTTGGGGGGCACCCTATATTTAGGCTCTACTTTCTTTTTAAAAAATATATATTTTAATTGATTTTTAGAGAGAGAAGGGAGAGAGAGAGAGATGCGAGAGTAAACCATTGATCATTGATTGGCTGCCTCCTGCATGCCTCCTATCCAGGATTGAACCCACAACTGGGGCACGTGCCCTGACCGGGAATTGAACCAGCAACCTTTAGGTCACAGTACAATGCCCAGTCAACTGAGCCACACCAGCCAGAGCTAGACTCTACTTTCAAGAGGCTTAAGATTTTGTTTTAGAATCATTGTCTATGTGTATGAACACTATTGGGAGGAAATGGGTACCAGATCATTCCATCATCACACACTCTTCCACTTTTAGTTGTCCAGTGGACATCTGCTTATTCTGCAACACTCAGATGCCTCCTCCTGGGAAAATACTTCTCCATCTCTCCTTGCCTTGTGTGAGTATCTCAGTCTTGATTCTTAGGGTTTCTTGTTCAAACGTTCACTCTAACATTTAGCATTCTGCTGTCATGATCTCTGGGATGTGAACTTCTCCATGGCTGGGAAGTACTTACCAAGTTCTGTGTCTCTTTATCCACCTGGAACAATGGCAAAAAAAAAAAAAAATTCATTTTTATTTGTTTTCCAGTGAGGCTTGTTGTTACCCATTCACTATAACTATTCTTTAGAAAACCTCCAAACCCCAAAATGTAGCATTGAATTTTACTGCTGCCAAACAAATGTGTAGATTTAGTGACTGTGGTTACCCAGTTGTTCCTTTGGAAGGCCTCCTTTCTTTAAAAACAAAACAAAACCAAAAACTAGACAAACACTTTGACCTGTCATATTTCTAAAGCACTATGTGTCATAACTTCTTTGTTATGACTATGTGTCATACTTGGTCTCCTGGGTTACAATGCTTCCTAATATCTTCTTTACCAGGTTCTCTTCTTCTGTCTCCTGGAACCACTCTACAGTGGAATAGAGCATTCTGTTCAACACCTTCTTCAGGTGGGATAAGCAAATCTTGTTGCTTTTGCAGAAGAATGATTTCTATTTTTTTTTTTTTTTTTTTTATGATTCAGAGACTATCATTCATTATCCATGTCACTTTTTCTCCTCTCGTGTTCCCCCTCTCCTGTTCCCCTATCCCTGTTTTCCTTGCTCCATCTCTGGGATGACATAGTTTCTAATTTCTCCCCTTCTTTATGAGTTATTTTTATTCTCTACCCTAGATACTACATCAAGCTGTGTGTTCATGGTCCAACATAGCCTTTGGCCCTTAACTTCCAGGACTTTCCAGTGAATGGACAATTAAGTCTCAATGTCTTACAGTAAGATTTCCAGGAAATAAAATCTGGTCCATTTTGGGGGTCAGGTGTCTACCTCTTGTCCAATAAGCTGAGGCCAACTTGGAGAGGGTCATGTGGAACATGACATGTTGATCTCAAAAAGGAGACTGGGAGTGACTAATGAACTGAATCTTAGGACATATGTAGCAATTTGTAACTCATCCCTGTTCTACTAATCCTACCTGATATGCTAAACATTTCTCACATCTCTTCCTTCCTCACTGTTTTGGCTCCCATATAGTCTTGCTTAGATTACTGTGATGATCCCTGATTTGATCTGCATGCTTCTGATCTCCTCCCCCATGCTAACATACATTCTATATTGCTGCCTTTGGGAAA